ATATGTCATCCGCCGGCAGCTCTATCTACTGGGGCCCGCATGGCAATCCTGCCTTGATTGATTCCAGTCGACTGTCAAGACTCTCGACTCTAGACACAAACGACGACTGCCCTTTCTTGCTGATTGTCGGTAGATTGACGACGCCAGAGAGACACTGAATGAAAGTCACAATGATGGCAAGATCGCCGAGGGAATCAAATTCCTGCTTCAACATTTTTCCCTGTTCGAGTGGATGGACGCGATGAAGGTCGGTCAGCTTCTGCAGCCAATCAGCGGACTTGGTCCACGTCGTCTCTTCTTGACAGAGACGAAGCATGTAATGCAATTGCGGATTCTCCACCGTCAAGGATTCGGGACTACATTTCAAGCCCACACGAACTTTGTCGTAGTTTTTCGCGTTCGTAGCACGCCTGAACCACCTACCCCCACCTGTGCCCGTGGACACATATCGCTTGAACGTATCTCGAGCACGCGTGTACTCCATGGCGCACACTTTAGAAAGTTCCTGCAAGATGATCGCTCGGAATTGCCTGTCGTGGGAAATGCCAAGCATTCGCAAGAGGCACGCCATGTACTTCCACACACAAGCGTTCCTCACCACCGTTCGAACGGCGTCGAAGAAGGCCCCGCTGATAAACTTGTCCAGGATCGCTGGCAGAATTCGTCCTCTATCGTCAGCTACAAGCTCTGGTCGCGTGTAATACCAAAGGTTGACCTCGTAGGCAAGGATCGTTGGCTCCGTGGATACCAGATCAATATAGTCCTCCAACGACACCTGTTGATCGATAGCACTTTCAGCCAGGCCAGGAAGTTCAGTCTTGGTGGGCGGCGAATGAACCGATAGTTTAGCCAACGCTGTCGTCGCATTCTCAGCGGGGCGTGGCGTCGGGCCCTTTGCAGTTCGCGTGGTAGATCCAACGTCGAGTATGTCTTCGAAGGTGATGTTGAGGGCTTGGAGTATATATAATTGTCGCATCATGATCAACTCGCCGGTGGATTGTGGAACGATCAATCCAGCTTGGAATGCAGATCTAAGGCTTGCCACAACCTCTCTCTTGTTTCCTGGTGTGGTCGCGAAGGTTTGCCCATATTTCTCCTTGCTGTGGAAGGTTTAAACTGGTCATTGTGGTCAGATGCATTCCGAAACTGTAGATTCTTCCCGCACATCATGGCGACTATATGCTCGTAGTCTCCTGCGCTGCCGTTGACGCCACTGGCATACTGATCCTGTAAGGAAGTGGTTGCTCGATGTCGCAACAAATTGAGGAGGAAGTCGGACGAGGGCGCAGTCAGGTCGCGCATGTTCCACTCTGGCAAGATCTTGTACACAGCTCCCATGCTGGTGTCGTCCGGGTGCTTCAGGACTACCCCATCAAGGGAACCGTCTCTTACAATCGTTTCGCGTTGTCTCTGCTGGAGAGATCGCCATGTCTGCTCAATCAAAGGACCCTGGCGTTGGAACTTGCGTGCAAGGTCGGCGTGAAGATCTTTCAGAGTGGCTATCATTGTAGGCAGAGTCCGAGGACCGGCGGACAAGATGTCACAGTAGCGAGTCTAGCTGATGATTTAGCTTGGCCTTCCTGTCTTGCTGTCGGATAGCCTGGCAGTCTGTCCTTTGTAGGAGAAGGCAAAGGGATGAATCTAGGAGACTGGTGGGTGGTGGGCGTTCATATGAGCGTGGTCATGAGGCAGAAGCCAGTCATACTTTTCCCTCGCGCCCGGGCTTTTCACACGTTTCCCAGCGATGAGGCTTTGTTTGCGTCATCGAACATTCGACTGGCGGGCAAGGGAGGGCGGGCGTGATGGTCGTGTGTTGTTTCCAATGTTTGCCCGTTATCGCGGAGAGAAAAGGAAGTCACGACCAGGCCGTGTGACGCTTAGTACGCAAACATTCATTCACCACCTCGCTCGGATTGATGTACGTCCAAGACAAACAGCATCACCAGCCCAGCATGCCGGCACACATACCCATCCCTCTGCAAGTCTACTCGAGCGTACTGGTGGTATTACACGTCAAGGCGAAACAAATGTATGTGTATTTTGGATCAATGCTACCGTTACTCCAACACAAAAACACAAAATCGCTTACTCTGTCTACATAGTCTATCAAGTCTCCCACCAATGCTTGTGCTTAATCTGTCCCCGCCCACTCCTCTCTGCACCGCCTCTTCCCGTGCTCCTCGCAACGCCCCAATAGCCCCACTTGGACCGTTGATTCCACACCCACCACCGACCAAGCTCCTCAGCCAGAATGGCCCAGTCCTTCGCTCTACCCCCGTGGCTGACTTTGATGATTGCGACCAACTCCTCCATCGTCCATGCAATGATGGGCTGAAGCTCTCCAGGGTCCGTGGAGACATCTGTGAAGCGCAGTGGGATGGCTGAGCAGAGTGGGAGAATGAGACGATACGTCGTCGAGGCATCGGCAATGGCAAGGACGGAGCCACCGGGGTTGATGGCAGAGAAGTGAAATGGCTGGAAGAAGGCCGGGGCCTCGGAGCCGTCTTCCAGTAGGACACTGAAATCGATGTCGCGGATGAGTGAGTTGCCCTGATAAAGAGGGAGAAGCGCGTGTGCTGTCGATGCAGCGTCGGCGCTAAGGGAATCCGTCTCGATGAGCAGATCCAGAATCGTAGGGAGGACGGACAGTTGGGTTGTTGATGTGCTGACTTCAATGCGAGGCAGGTCAGGATGAAGGAATAGGAGAGGTACGGCGAAATTGGAGACATGGCCGTTGTTGACCGCAGAGGTACTTTTGTCAACCGCAGTAAAGGCCAATCCGTGGTCGCCAGTCATCACCACAAGCGTTTCTTGCAGTGCGCCGACCTCGTGGAGCATCTCGAAGATATCAGAAATCCACTCGTCCTGATACTTTATGGTGTTCAGATAATCGTCAAAGGGATCGTGTGGTCGCCAATGGTTCTGCTTGAGGTATGTGTCCCTACCCGCCCAGTCATTTGGCGTTGCAAATGGATGATGAGGCGAGCTCGTGAGATGCGAGGCAAATACGCGCTTGTCCTGTTGCATACCATCCACAAACAGGTCGCGAAGGTAGTCAAGCGTTTCAACCTCCGGGAACCCAAAATAGTTTACGCGTGGCTGTTTCGGGGGGTAATGTTTCGACCGCTCATCAGAAATTTGGGCTTCCACTATAGTGTGCTTGAAACCCATGCGATCGTTCAAGACGTCTTGGTTATCGAATTGGTCTGTCACCGACTGGATGAAGGTGGAGGTCCATTCCGTGTTTCGGTAGTCCCCCTCCCCATGCGGCGTTTTTTCAACTCCTGCCTTGGGGTGGATGGAGGTATCATTCCAGGGATGATTCAGTTGCTCAAGTATCTGTGGCAAGCAAGCCTGGTAAATGCTACCTTTGGTTTCCTCCGTGAAGTCGACTGGAAGTGGCTCCACCCCACAGTGGCTACTGACCAGACTCTTCAGCGTGTACGCTGCCTGCGTAACTGCGCCTTTCACGTTCAGCCCGCCCATGCCATTCTTAAACGCTGCTTTCCATGGCTTCTCTTGCATAAGTTCCTCGTGTGATTCAAACCCAGTCGACTCGCCAGAAAGAAAAGCAGAGGTTGCAGTCAATTTGGCGAGTTTAGCGTCCAATTCGGCTGTTGCGTTGGATGAACTATAGGTCGATATGATTGCCTCGTAAGCGCGGCTACCCTTTTTCAGAGGAAACATGTCTTTGCGGGTGCTTTCCAAAGTCAGTAGAAGGATATTCCTAATCTTAGGCTTCTTCGTGGCTAGCCTGTGTGCCAGCTTTTCCGTTATGGGTGCTTCAAGGTTAGAGAGCTTGAGAGGATCGCAACGAGGTCCATACCCTCCATGGTGCCCATCACCGCCTAGTAATGAACCATCCGAGCCATGATCAGGAGACGGGCTATGGGAGGATGAGTCCGATTTGGGAGGGCCATGGGGCGGTAGTTCACGAGCAGATGACCCGTCATCTCCAGGCATCTCCAGCCATTCGGGCGGCCCTTTTTTTATCCCTCTACCGCACGATGGCGAACGTGGCATCCAACTGTGGGGCTGTGTGTTGTTGAAAAAATTAGCGAAACGCTCAAATGGAAAAATCGATTGCTCCACTGGATGCGCCAGACAGAATTCCGAGTTGATGGGTTGAAACCACGCGGCTTCGATTAAGGTGATGGGTATGGAACCTGACATATGCGCATATGGTGGTGACTTGGGCCGGACAATCTGGAGTATGATCACCACGATGGCCGCTATCAGCGTTGTGAAAGAAATCGCAATAGCAGTCCGTGGAGGTGGAGTTGTTTTCACAGTGGACATTGTGCCTGGCAAAGGTTCCAAATCAACAGGTGAGGACGAACGACTTTCCTCTAACGAGATCAGGGGGGCCTTGGCTTCATCGATATTGGTTGTCTTTCTCAATAGCGCATAGACGCGACAGAAAGACGCCCTTATTCTTGCTAGGACCAAATCCACGGCATCGTAGAACCTAGGCGTTATGATCCACGCAACTGTGGAAAGACTGCCAAAAGTCAAGCCTACAGCTGGCAACCCAGACAAAAGTAGACCTAAGCCTCCACTGCCGCCTAGTACTCTGCCAGCTGCCATCCATTGGATCTCGCCTCCCGTCTCCGCGAAGAAAGCAATCTGTGAAGATGCACACCCTGCAGTGAATAGACTATACCATAGCAATATTAGCAATCGATTGTGGTCATGCTGCGAATTAGACTTACGCAAGGAGACATCCAATCACCTTCCTATAAATTCCACCATGCTGTGTATAAATGAACGTCTTGCTTATGACCAGAAGGAGCCAGTCCTGCAAAAGAAAGGTTGGAAAGTATAGAATGTAGAGAAGTATAGGCAAAGATGAGGCATGGCTACCGAGATGAAGTAATTTGGCGAGAAAGTAAGACACGAAAAAGAGAGCAAATTGGTTCTTGGGCCTCCAGAAAGCCTGAACAAGGGCTAAAGGATTGAACAGCATGACATTGAAAGAAAGGAGGGTCGTGGATATCGTTAGTCGAAAAGGGCGCTCGCGGAGGTAATAGCAGATTCGCACATGACAGACAGACGGGGAAAATCCAAGAAGGAGGGGATGAAGAGAGAGAAACCCCGAGCAAGGTTAGAAGAGGCGCATTTTGCCGTGAGCCAGCCTGCACTGCCTCTATGAAACGGGGTCCGTATTAGCAACGTCCCGTTAGTGTCGCGTGCACGAATTTAGCAAGTGGAAAGAAACGCGAGTGTCGCGTGCTCGAGTCCCGGAGATCTAGAGTGCTGTGGCTGCTTCAGCTAGGACTCTATTCGAGGAAACACGCTCGCTAGATGTCGAGCCACGAATCAGGCCTGAAAATGGGACGTCCTTGATACTGGAAAGGAAAGGAGAGTGCGGCAAGCCCGTGTTGGGCTCCGCGTGCGTTCTGGCTCTTCCTCGGTGGCTTGCCTTCGTTAACGTTAGTGTACAATATGTATGGTACCAGCTCCATAAACATGTGCAGTCCCTGGTTGGATGTGAGAGACGTAACGATGCCGCACATATGCACTACCGGCCAACAGGTAGGCAATGTTCACGGCAACTTCATATCGAGAAGTAGGTAATGACTATGAGACCAGCGTCCAGAGTCGCAGTTGGTGAACAAGATGCCTTTTAAAGGGGCAACTCAGAGCATAACTGCAGGACGCTTGGTAGAGGCTGGTGGAGCATCAAAGCCTCTCTCTCGCTGTGGACATGGTTTGCACGGTAGAAATTGATGAAAAGCGTATAGGGTGTGGAGAAGGGCCGAATGCTGTTGCCGACCCTGGGAGTTGAGTCCACATTGGCTTATGTCAGTTTGCTGGTATAAGGTGTTTGATTGGCTCTGCCTTGCCGTCTGCTTTGTGCATCTCGCGTCGATTTTCGACGCCATCACGAAGCGAGCAGGGTCTGCAGCTTTCAAGACTTCAAGCCTTGTTGCCAAGATGTCAGGTCAGCTCGTGCCGAGGTCATCTTTTGACATCTCACCGGTTTCTGGTGTGGAGAAGGAAGGGAGGTTGATTGTTTTGTACAAAAAGAAGAATTGCGGATCTTCAGGCCGGTAATGAAGCAAGGAGTTTTTTCGGCGATAATCCCAGATCTTACTGTAGGCTGTAAATGATAATAATAGGAGTAAAAGCCCGCACTTTGAATACTCGTTACCCACTGTACTGTACCTAACTATGTGCTGTGAATGCACCTTACCTCTGAAGTCCAGCCACCATTGGGATCGGGTGGTCTAGACACCTGCGGGAGTCGAGTCAAAGAAATCGCGCTCCCGCCAAGTCGACAGTTGAATCCTTTCAGACCCCAGCCTACAGGACCGTAGGCATCTCCCAGGTTTTACCCCTGAAGCAGATCGTTTTTGGGTAGGAACGAATGTCTGACTCAAGCCCGCCAAGGCGTGAATTCGGTGTCAATCTCGATAGCGGCTGCACTGCACGAGCAGTGATCGGCTGTTTTGTCCTTCAATTTACTGCTGTATACCGGTACTGGCAATCGATGTGAAAGTGGATAGTTTTCCAGGCTTTGGCGCACCTTGGCCATGCAAATGCGATTCCACTGTCAGCTTTAAGTTTTGACCGTGTCTACGGATATGAGGGCCACCTGGATAACATGTCAAAGGCTAGATGCGTTTCCCTTAGATTCAGATGCTACATGGTAGGTAGGGAAGTGAGTGGTGTGGTGGTGGTGGTGGTGGTGGTTGTGGTGGTGGTGGTGTAAGAATAGTATTGTGCGTACCAGGTTGAAATTACGTCAGACCAACCCCACTTTGGCTCGACGCGACGCTCAACTTTCCCCCCACTGCCCATCCGACAGCAATGCGATGCCACAACAAGGTTCGACGACCATCTCTCCATTAACCACCTTCCTCCTTGTCTGCCTCTTTGTGCTTGCCCTCTTTCCTGGTAGCTTTGTGTCCATCTTCTGGCTCCCCTACAACTCACTAGCCAACTACCTGGTCCCTGCCGTCCAACCGCGCCGCAGTGTCGTGTGCACGAGTCCGGATATCTGCATCTCTACTCCTACCATGTCTTGGTAGGCGGAAGGCCATTCCACATTTACTCCAACCTCATCCTACTCACCACCTGCACAGGTTCCAGAAATCCCTCACCTTGCCCTCGCGCAGTCGTGGCTCCTACTTAGTCACCGACCACATCACCAAGGAACTACCTCAGATCAAAGAGTACAAGACTGGCCTACTCAATCTCTTCATCCAACACACCTCCTGCGCGCTCTCGCTGAATGAAAACTACGACCAGGATGTGCGCGCAGACATGACCGACGCGCTCGACCGCATTGTACCAGAGGACAAGAAGGGCACTGGGTTGTATCGTCACGACGATGAAGGCAGCGATGACATGCCTGTATGTGTGAGGTTGCCGACGAGAAGAAGACGATGTGGCAAGTGTTGGATCTCAGGCATATAGGCTGACCAAGGACAGGCACATGTCAAATCAGCCTTGATCGGAGCGAGCGTAACGATCCCAATCACGAACGGCAGACTGAATACGGGTACATGGCAAGGTATCTGGTACCTTGAGTTCAGAGATATGAAGCATACTCGCAAAGTAGTAGCTACGATCCAGGGTGAGAAGATGTAAGCTACCATAGGTAGGATCAAGAACGACATAGCGAGACACCATCACATTGCACATCTTTTCGAAGCGGATCTGATCCTCTCATGAACGGGCAGAATACATTCCTCCCCTTCGCATGTACACCAGGCCGCGCCGCCGTATCAATACTCCAGTGACAACAGCAGCAGGAGTATCGAAACTTACCGCACTTACGAGACAAACACACCGCTCCGCAACGTCAGTGCACCGGTGCATTGACCTCTTGTCACTCAACTAGTCGTGAGAGAGTTATCATTGTATCCCGACGTCGTTGCATACTTCTAAGCACTTGTGAAACTCGATCAAATACATGGTCTTAGGAGACATGATTCTTACGAATTCCTTGTCATGTGCAAGCCTTTGGAGTCGCACGAAGCTGACCAACAGTGCGTCTCAAGTGAAATCCGCTGTTACAAGATGAACGATTTTGGAAAACGACGCAGTAAGACGCCCTTGCACTCCGCACACAACTAGATCTCAACGCAAGCAAAAAGCGGAGCGAGGCGGGCGTAAAAGGCCAGAAGAGTGACGTAGTATTGAGGAACCGGCCAACACGCTGTAGGGGCCTATTAGCTTGTCATGTGCGAGATGATGGTCTCATTATAATGAGATATGCAACATCGTGCTATTATAGTAGAGGGAATTTTGAAATGTCTGATTTTGTTACACCAATTGATGGTGGCTCACAGGTCGGCCTAGAACTCCACGGGAATGAGCCTCTCTGGTTTTGGAGTCTCCATCGAGCACCCGATTGTAAATTCAGACTGTGTAACGTCATGACCACCCTACTTTCACGTCAAATATGATTTGCGAACTCAAAAAGAGAACCTACATGCAACTCTTCATGACAGAAATATATACTTTGTGTATGCAGCCATTTCATTACATTGGATTAAAAGTCATTGACCCCTTGCAGAAATAGCTAAACATTACGGTGAACATTGTAGGCAGACAACCCCTCATTCTCTCAGAAACGACACGATCACTCCATGGTTCCACATGTACGATGCCATAGGTTGTGCAACAGATCCGTCATAGTGGAATGACACAAGTAGCTTTGTTTCTCTCCCATGTTCCGAAGATCTGCTGTCTCTTCTTGACACATTCTAGTAGAACATGGTGAGCAAAACTTTCACGGTAAAACATTTCAAGATATTTTCTAGAGACCCCAAAGGCCGGTGTTCACTAAAACGTTTCGAGTGTCCCCATAAACTTTGCAAAGAGGTAGTTGAGGCAGGAGATCAGGTTTGACTTTGTCGTTCACGGCATAAGCATCGGAGGCCTAACTCCCTTGACTAGAGTAGATTGAGGCACAATTGCCTTGTATCACAAAGCAATGATGCATGAGTACGTTGGATTGACCGGCTTACGATCAGATGAGGGACTTGCAGCTTGACCCTGAAGCAAGGTAACGATGTCAGCACAGTTTTTGGCTTGGTAGACCTCTGAACGAAGATATAAAGTGAAAGTCTCCAGACGTCTAGAAATTGATCAACTCATTACCTCGATCCAATTCATCAACACCTCCAAGCCAACTTCCAAAGATACACAAGAAAACGCATCGTCACAAAGCACAATGTGAGTGGCCACCACACGCCAGCGCAACACAGGTTCTCCAATTGATCATAAACACAGCCGTGAGAATGAAGGTCACCATCTCCATCATTGCAATTCTCCTCCAGGCCAGAAACACCCTCTCAGCTACCACTGCAGAGCTAGCCGAAGAATGCGGTGCCCTCGGTATCATGGAGATACCCGCCGACGCCAGCCTAGCTGACTACCGCCACTGCAACTCCCACCCCCTTGGTCCCGACCGCCGTATCTACGCCAACCAGGACCTCGCTCTTGGTATCGATCCCAGCCCCAAGCGTGACCTGGGTGCTGTCAAGGCGGCCGGAATTTTCGGACGCGCAGCGCAGGCCTGTTGGTGGGATGCACCGCTCGGTTGTACAAATGGATACTGCTGGAAGTCATGTGGGAAGGCGGGGGAATGGTGCTGGACGGCTTATAATAATGGAGTTGGCGATTGGGCGCGCTGCGAGAGAGCTGAGGATTGCAATTCAGAGGAGGCGTGTGGGCAGGGGTGTAAGGAAGGGGATAAGAGTTGTGGCTGTAGTTGTTAGATTGGTGCGAAGGACAATATGTGAGAATGCTGAGTCAAGCAAGTACCGGTACAGTTGCGTGCAGAAATGTGGGATTTGAAAGGACCTGGAATGTGTATCGTTTCCTTGTCACACTCGTTTATTTATGAAAGCACATCGCCCTCCAATCAATTGTAGACAGCTAAGCCAAATACCTGACGATCTACAGTTGTTGACATAGCTGGAGCTATAAAACCTATCACAACATGTGTTCCCAGGCCAGTAAGCAAATTGCTCATATCGTATTAAAAGAAAAGCTCGCTTGTATTTAATATCGTCTGTGATACTTTAACCAATTACATCAATCGGTTGCCAACCATGGTCGCTGTCCGATCCAACATTTGGAATATGAAGATTGCTGATTTGGTTATTCATCATCATCATCTGCCATCAGCCTGACTTTGTGTCCCCACTTCACTCCAATGTCCGAAGAGTCTAGCTACGCAGGGCAAATCTTCTTGCCTACCATTGAGCTTTCGAGACTTGATGCACACATGCATGTTATAATTTGTAGGAGATTAGCCCCCCTTGGCTGTTGAGAACGATACTCGAATGGTGTGGTCTTTGGAGTACACATGGTTTCTTTCGTCTCTCGGGGGAAGGCCCACCGAATTTACCCCACAATTCGTATCTTTCCTACCATACCTAGCCTAGGCACTGCACTCTCCACAATCCCCCGCTATCTCCACTCACAGTCCCGCCTCAGGAAAAAGCTCCTTGATCACCCATCACCATGGCCAATTTGTTCAGTCATGGAAGTGGGGCAGCCTACAGTAGCAAGTACCCCGAAGCAACAAAATAACCAAATCCCTCACCCCTCCCCCTCATTCATGGGCAGAGCGGGTACATGGTGGGTGTCTACCTATGTGAGGAAGCATCATGGGTCATTGCAATTAGCGCTCGGTGGAAGAAGTAGCAGCGAGGATGATGCCGAGAGACATTACATGAATACGGCTGCAGATCTTACGAAATCTCATATCTTTCCACTTGGTATTTGGAAACGGGCTTGAAAATGCTGAAGTTCAAGCTGGTATTCGCTGTGCTGCGGTTCTACAAAGCAGTAGCCGCGTAAGTAAAAGAGAGAATGCGAAAGAAGTAATTTGTACATTAATAAACAAGATGCAGATTCGTTGATTACGGCACAGGCTATCCGAAAAAAATACTCTCAGACGAATAATCCATCACTATCGACGTATCAGTCATGGCAGAACACAACATTGACACTTTCGCCCACAAGCCCCTTCCTCGCCCTCGATTACGGCTTCGAAATTGCAGGCTTCCCATTCTTCCACGTCTCTGCGCTCTCAAGCCCAGTACAAATCGAAGTTAAATACTCCGAGACCTTGCCCGCGCTCGCGGAGCCAAATTCCGACGGACCATGGACATTTTCAAATGGCCTGTCGAATACCTTTCGTGTTGAGACATTTAACATCACAGAAGAAGGATATATCGAGAGTTTCTTTGTACAGGGAGGTCAGCGATGGGAGTCGATCCGCTTACTCACCAATGCTACGGTAGATATCGCGGGCATAGGATTCCGCTTGACAGGTCCACACGAGGATGCCGAGACACTCCCAGGACGTCTGAGTACATCGAATGCAGTATATGATAGGATCTATGGTCTGGGAGGCGGGTCTGTGCAAGTAGCATGTGTGGATGCGGGAAATGCACCATCAACGTGGGAGATTACGGACCAAGGGGCATTGGTTCGTGGGCAAGCGAGTGCGCAGTCTGCAAAGGGTCTTGGGATGGCGAATTATACGCTGGCATTCAAGACGAAGATTGTAAGGGGAGGAACCGGTTGGAGAGTGGCAAGTGCGTTTGAACCGTATGGACCGTACTTTGTTTTGACATCAAACTATCCCGAGGGCAATACATTTGTCAATACGAATCGGACGCTCTTACCACCGAATGTGTTGATTTTCAACAGTGCTTGGAGTCTAGTCAATCAAAGCACGCTTCCTGTACCGGCGAATCAGTACTACCCTGTCAATTTCACAATCGAAGAAGACATATGGTACCACATCAGCACAGTAGTCACAGCGACTGGCTACCAGGTCACGCTCGACGGGCAGCAAATCGCCTTTGTGCCATTGCCCCCTCCTGATAGCAACGCGTTGTTTGCACTCCATCTCCATACGAAGGAAGCTGGGGATTCGGCGGTTACCAAGACCATGTCACCTACTTTGCCAACGTCTCCGTCACCGCTCGCAACGGCACGAGCATCTATTCCAACGCCATGACCTCGAATGACACGCTTGCAGAATACAGCGTTGCGCCACTCGATGCATCCGTCTGCCTCGACGGCGGAAAGCGAGACCGCCTGGTCTGGATCGGCGACTTCTACCATACCGTGCGTGTCGTTGCGCACTCGACATCGCGATGGGACCAGCTGCTGGGAAGCATTGCATACGTCTTCAGATATCAGGTCGAAGAGGGTCCGTACGCAGGCTTTGTGCCCATTTCCCCGGCGCTGGGTTCGCGAGCAGAATACAAAGAGGCAAAGTCGAATTGGGACGCTCTAATAGACTATCAGGACCTGTTCCTCGCTGGGATAGGCGAGTACTACCGATACACGGGTGACCTGGAGGGCTTGAAACCGCACTGGGCGGCTATCCAGAAAGTCGTGGCCGCACGACTCGCCTTTATCGACCCGAATTCCGGTCTGGTAGCTGGCAGTCCTCAGGTCCCGATGCCGCGTCATTTCAATGGCCCTGTAAACGGTACAGCAGTCACGGGGCTCATGGCTTTTATGCTCGATCTCCTCACCCCTCTTGCGTCTGCCATGGATGCCGCAGAGCTCTCCACGCAATACGCCACCACCGCCTCCCGCCTCCGCACCGCCATCAACAACAAACTCTGGAACGAGGAAAAAGGCACATACGCCTTGTCCCTCACCGACTGCGGCAACCACTCTCTCCAATCCACGGAGTTCGCTATCCTCTCCGGCGCCGCCAATCTCTCCCGCGCAACCTCGTCCATTGCCGCACTTGAAGACCTCCGCTTCAGCATCGGCTACAAGACCCTGTCCAGTGACACGGCAACCCCAGACTACCAACTCGCGCCCAACCCGTCGGGTTTCCTCCTCGAAGCCCTGTTCCAAGTGCACGCGCACTTTGCTGCCGCCGCAAACAGCACGCCCGCTATCCAACAGCTACTGGACAATCTGTGGGCCGCCATGGTAAACGACGACGAGTATTACAGCGGTGCGGGTTGGGAGTATGTCAAGCCGGATGGATCGCCGGGGATTGACGGGTTTACGAGCCTCTCGCATCCGTGGGGTGCGGCGCCGACGTATGTGTTTGCGGAGTATTTGTTGGGCGTGCAGCCCACGAGGCCTGGGTATGAAAGGTTCTCGATTAGGCCGATGTTGGGGTACCTGGGGTTGAAAAAGGTGCAGGGTAGGGTTGCGACGCCGCGTGGGGCGATTGAGGTTGCGTGGGAGATTGCTAGGGAGGATGCGGTGGTTGAGATTGTGGTGCCAGAAGGGTTGACTGGGGTGTTTGAGGTCCCTAGTGGCATGAAGTTGGATGGTAGGAGGGCGAAGTTGAAGAAAATGGATCTAGCGAGTGGGACATGGCGGTTTGAAATAATGTATGCGGAATGAAATGTATTGTTACTTCCACTTGACCTTATAGCCACAATGATCTCTAGTCGTGCGACAAAATATGGAATCAGACCGCTTATGATTTCCCAATATGCAGATACTAAAACGCCCCAAGTCTGAGACATGATATCAATAAGTGCGATACAATGGTAGTCGTTCTGAGATCAATTCGTCATTGACAAAGCATATTTACACTTTCTGATTCGCCCAATTCTCATCACCATCTACCGCTGAGCAAGCGGCTCATCCGTGACCTTTTGTGTCTCGTTGACTTCGGCAGGGTGCCCCTTCGGTCCCAATGGATATGACAATTCCGACTCCGGCAGAGATTCGAGATGGTGTCTGTGCTTCTCGTGGGCCTAAGGCATGCGTATCAGCATATGATCTCCCTAGGCATCGAAACGAACTGATTGACGAAGGGAAGGTCTTTTTTTTAGCAGAAATGACTTACAAATGGTAGACCACAGTATGTGCACCAGCAAACCTGCGGTTTGTCTAGATTGATAAAGATGCGCGGGTGTCCAAGAGGTCCACCTCCACCGTCACAAGAGACGACTTTGTCGTGAGACCAGCGGACAGGCTGCTGGTGGATGAGTTCGATAGCTGCATAGGGACGGGGCTATCATTTCAGATATCAGCTGATCAGGTCTATATCTTCCTCTCTGTTGAATCTCTCTCTTCTCACGTCCGTATGCGCCACCTCAAGCAGTGCTCGGTACCCTCGCAATCGCAGAATTGGCTGCAAAGGAAACCGAAAGTTGGCCTACCTGGTCCTCGATGATGGTCTGCTCAAACTGCGGTCCGCTCATGGCAACCTCCCTCGGATTCTGACTCCGACTCCACACGCCCTCACGATTTGGCGCCTGTTGTTTCCGCAGCTTCTCCGCCGTAGCAACATCCTCTTGCAGTACCTTGTCAAATGAGCCCAGTGATGATGTGGCGGTCGCATTGGTCTCCGAGACATTGGGTGGAACATCGCGCTTGAGAGGGTCATTGGCGGGCACTTGGTTGGGGGCTGTGGCTGTGGAGACGTAGGCGCGGAGAAGCGGGGTGCGTACACGGGTGCGCAGGGCACGGAAGGTGGAGGGAAGCATTTTGATGGGCAAAAGGACGGGCTGGGACGCAGACGGGCTGCGCAATGGCTTGGGCGGAGGATTGGACAATGTTTGGTGTGAGGTTGAGGTTGAGGTTGAGGTTGAGGTTGCGGTCGGAAGCCGTGATGCCAAGACATGGCTTATTAAGCAGGTCCCCGGGTGGGCTATTCGATCGATCCGACTGACGGCCAGGCCTTGCATCATCATCGCCATCATCATAATCACCATTACGGCCAGTGTTTTTATCCACATTGTCCAAATTGAATTGATGGGAATCAGGCGAGGTGTAAATCAAGTTTACATTTGGCCACTTTGAGAAAAGCCCCCTAGTGCTTTGTATACCACCCGATATCAGTTGGTGTAGGGTATGTGACCCAAGTGAGCCAATCACAATTGCATCTGCATCTGACCGTTGAAAGCTCGAAGATGACATCCTTCAACATCTCTACATCGACGGTGCCTGCATCGCCTGCATCGCACTTGTCTATGTGTATGATACCCACCACCTATCATACATGACCAAGTACAACACGCGCTCGACCACCCGCACTCACTTGGCACAATCCATCATATCCGGCTCTCCACTTCCGACATCCTTGAACTGGTGCGCCCTCCTTTCTGCTGCTCTTCCTATAACCTGGTTGACGATATAGCATTACTACAGGTTACATCAGAACCACTTCTTGATTGAAGGACAATTTCTGTCCATAGGTACTCCATCTGCGTCACAGCCTCATCTTCCAGAACTGCCCCTCTCTACTATTCCACTGTCTCTGTCACGCAAACCCAACAACAACCACACCACCAAACCCATAGAAATCCACACAATAAGAAGACAAAAAGACGGAAGAAAGAACTGAAAATAATCATGTCCTCTTCAATCCCCAACGACGTTTACCAATTCTCCACCATCTCCGCCATTCATGCCGGCTTCAATACCGGCCAGCCCTGTACCTCGGACCTCACCACCCACGGCACCCATGGCATCGGCATCTACGAAGACGGCACCCTCCTCCTCCTCAAAGACAGCCGCGCCTTCAGCATCACCAAGACAGGGCTCGCGAAATCAGCACAGCCGGATGCCCGTCTCCCTTGGGCCATGGTGACAGTCTACGAGCCGAGCTTCAAAGTCACAGTGTTCAGCCTGACGATCGATACTTTCGATGCGCTAGTCAGTGGTGATGACCTTGGCCCCGTCAAGGGCGTGAATACCCTTATGCCTTTTTTGATCGCGGGCCACTTCTCTTCGCTCGAGTTTCGCGATGGGCCCCGAAGGAATGCGATCGATGGCACCTTGTTTGGCTTTGTAGTGCCGATGTGGATGAAGGGAATTTGTGGGCCGAGAATCCATGCCTATTTTCTGGATGCTGGAGAGGAGGTAGGGGGGAGGGTTGAGGACTTTAGGATGGAGGGGGGAGGCGTTTTGGGGTTTGCAAAGTGTGGCCGGTTTCATCTTGGCTTTCCGCAGGGGGAAGAATGGGAGGCGTTGAAGATGTGAGGACGCCGGAGAACCTCCTTTTACTATGCGCGATCAATTTCCGTTCTACTGGGTCCTCAGGCTTCACCCCTAATACATTTGAAGGATCTAATCATAGTGACAAGGGGACTGTATGATATGGTGAGCGTGTATTTTAGCAACAAGTAGTGGCCTTGATGTTCTTTGAGATGATCGATTGCTAGCTTGTCCTCACCTGGCCATGGTGGAGCTTGAGGATGTTGAAATAATCTTGTTACTGCTCTGGCCATGTCTATGATGTACGTTGTCCTTCTTTATCTGGTTCTCGTTTTTTCTTTCGTGGCACTGATATGCTTACCCGTGTGATGATTGTAGTATGTGTGTTTGGGTCGGCCGCCTCATTCACTGCATCGCGCATCAGTGCTGCGAAAACTACGCCCGCGATCAACGTCATTGTGTTCTTGATCCTGTGTTCAATTTCGATGCGATTGAAATTCGATGCAACCTTGGTCGATTTGGAGGGATCGTCCAACTTTCCCCGGGGACGACGGCATACTGTTGTGGCGACAGAGCGAGCGAAGACTGCGACAGACGATGAATGCCACGCTAATCAATGTGTATGGAGAGATCTGTAAAGAGATAGCAGTCAGCACAGGCTGCAATGTAGGTAATGAAGTTCCTCGAATGATTGAAATATTTGAAATCCAGTAGCATCATTCTCAGGGGCTATCCAAGTGCCGAATGATGATTTATCCAGCTCAAAATGTGCGATGCCATCGCACGTTCGCGCAGAGTCAATAGTAGGACTTGTGGGCCCCCTTTGAATCGTGATGTAAAGAGCTGTGGTGGTTGGCTACATTGTACTGTACGGGTATTCAGACTACACTACGGTAAAAAATTGTTTACTGTAGAATGGTACGCTAGGGGTTTACTATATAGGTGTAAACTGACCTCGTGTATACCCGTAAATAGGTTTAAAGTGGTGGTTTACTTTTATTAAAGTGGTGGTTTACTTTTATAGTAGGGGTTTAAATTAAGTATAAAAAGTAGTTTTATTTCTATTATACGCGATAATACCTAACTAAGACTAAAAGGGGTAGAGAAACTTAGCTTCACGCTATACGCACATATGACATAATAATGAGTCATAATATTTTGACTAATAGGAGGTGGTAATAATAGAGGTGGTGATAATAGAGGTGGTGATAGAGGTGGTGATAGAGGTGGTAGAGGTGGTGGAGGTGGTGGAGGTGGTGGTAGAGGTGGTAGAGGTGGTGGAGGTGGTGATAGAGGTGGTAGAGGTGGTGGAGGTGGTAAAGAAGATTAAAGAAAGGAGGGGTAAAATACTTAGATAGTTAGTAGGAAACTAGTTATTACTACGTAATACTAGTAGATTAATAGAAGTAGAAGTAAAAGTGGAATACATAGTATAGTAAACCCTATTTAGGTTTACTTCTTCTACCTAAACTACTTCTTAGTCTACTTTAGATAAATATGGCTACTGTAAACCGGTTTTGTACCGTAGTGCTAAATGCATCTTAAGGTCTATAGGCCTCCCCAGGAATCGATCTGTGATACGAAACGTGGCCAGGAAGCAGATAATGGGAACAGAAGGCTAAACTAGATGCCAACAGGGGACATAAACATAGCCCGCGTGTTACATTAGCATGTAAGGCAAGAGTGTGATTGTGCTTGATAATTAGGCCATGCACCAAAGCATGGGCAAGAGCCAATATGATGCATATTGATGCACATGCCCATGCCAAAGTCAGGTCGTTGAGCTATTCAAAAGACCATCAAAACTGGCTCACATGGGTTGGCACTACCATGGTTAGTGAAGACTCAAATCAGGTTATTGTTCCGGCCTCTATGGAATTAAGTTAGTCGTCATATGGAATCTCAAAGAGGGCTTGAGGAGGCGAGGTCTTGGCTGGCTCCCAGCCCTTATAAGCCGTCTGCGGCTGCCCTTCCCTCTCTCTTCTTCTTTCCTCACATCGCTTTTTGAGTAGTTGCCACGACATACATTTTTCACACTTTCTATACTCTCAAAATGCCCTCTACCATGATGCCTTCACAAGCACCATCACGCCTTCCCATTTCTTCCTCTTCAAGGGTCGTCACTGGAACGCGCTGCCACGCGTTTCCTGCCAGACACCAAAACAACCTCGCCCAGCGAGTAAATCTTTCGAGCAGAGTACCTCTTGCTACTCGCATAAGTCGTGTCCAACCAGAGGTAGTTGCTGCGCGACTGCCTGGTGCCACTTTCTTTAACTGCCAGTGACTGACGCGTCGTAGCACACGCTACAAACATCCCCACCTCCCTCACAGGAGGATTGTAGTGCTGAGAACGAGCGTCCTGCTCGCCTTTGGGAGGCACGACCGTGTGAGCCGGAAGTTGAGACGGTTGTCGCTTTTGTTGTGTTGTTGTTTGGGAACTGTTTACTGACGCGTCGAAGCCGCCGCGACGCGTTCCTACGCTCTATCGCGCTACGGCTGCTGACTATGGTCATACTAGACCGTGGCCAAGGAGGGTAGGCGGATATGACTTGCGCTGCACATGCCCAAAGACTGATCAGTCGTAGTGGGCACGAGGGAGGAGGATCCAGCCAGAACCTGAGATCCAGCCAGAACCCGACCATGCTGAGAAATGCACATCGGGGCTGGAAGAAGAGGATCGACAGGTGAGATTTTTTTTTTGAAATTTGCGATACCCCATACATGTTTTCATTTAATACTGACAATCGATAAGGATCGTGTGGCCAGGTGGGTCAAGGAGGTCGCGGAGGCGACCAGCAGTCGAAGGCGGGAGGCGTATCCGCCAGTGGTGAAACAGACTTCTGTACGATAAATTATCGATGGGATGGTACTTATTATCCCCGCTGACGTATATCAGGTTGCGCCAAAGGTCTGGGGTCCAAGAGGTGGGTGGATGGGTCGGGGGGTTCCCGGTCAGAGCATATATGCCCATATGAAAAAGGTGGAAGAGGTTACTGTACGTACACAGGGTTACGATTTAGGTCTATGGCTGACGCTTATCAGGCTGCTCCTGCGGTGTGTGACCCTAGGGGCGGACGGATGGGCCAGGGATACAGCGGCCAAAGACGAGATGCCAGTGTGTCTGTGGTGGAACAGGATATCGCACGTTTACCATGATATTTTGGAGAGGAATGATTTCATGGCTAACGCGTATCAGGCTGCTCCACCAGTATTTGCCCTCAGGGATGGACGAATAAGCCAGGGAGTCAGCGGTCAAAGGCGAGATGCCAGTGTGCCAGTGGAGGGTCAGGCTACCGTACGTGTACAATGATACAACGGAGACACGTATAGTTTGAAACTAAAGCGTGCCAGGCTGCTCCCAAGGTCTGGGGTCAAAGGGGTGGGTGGATGGGCCGGGGAAACCCAGGTCAGAGCATACACGCCCACATGCCAAAAGTGGAACAGAGGACTGTAAGTGTATACCACGGTGATGACGAAAATTGCGCCGAATTAATGCGTGCCAGGTCGTTCCCAGGGTGGTAGATACTGTGCAGAGGCAGCAAGTTCCTAGGGTACCAGATAATGTGCAGAGGAGGAAGAGGGAGAATATCCCTCCTGCTGCGCAGCGTTCTGTACGTGCCTCCTCTTACACGCTTCTTGCCGCTTGTATTGGCTAACGTTCACTCCAGACTACAGTGCGTCGCCCGAGACTGAAGATCACTCGTAACTATAGACCTCGAACGTATCAGTCGATACTCAAGAAGGCTGGAGCGCCCAAGAAGCACAAGTCGGTTAGATTCGCGGAGTCTGAGCAGGTCCGCACTATTGAATGGACAGCAGAGCATGCCGACGAAAGTCTTAAACATCTTCTTGATGAGCATGCCCTAAAGCCAGTTTCCTGGACGACTGGTTCACTGAACACGCCGATACTCCGCGATCCCACGGGTTCCCATGCGCAAATGTGGAGGACAGTTGAGACCGATTACGACGTCATTACGGGCTTTCGGACAACGCAACAGCGTGCACGTGTCTGTCAGGTACAGGCGTACTACCGGGCCCAGGCACTCGAGGCGCTTGCTACTGTCACGGACCCCGACATTGTTGTAGTCAAGCAGATGATCCCCGGTTTCTACGGCCACAAGTCTAGCAGGGAGAATCCGTTGTGGTATGGCGTTGTGATTGACAAATATGATGCCTTGGAGGATGCTTTGCCGGTTTTCGCTTTCGGTGAGGCAACTATTGGTTCCCGTGGTGACTGGGTCTTCAGGAGTGAGGCCTTCCAATGTCACACTGATTCGACTGCGCAACCCGGATTCTATGGCCGCTACCAATGTACCAAGGGCGGGAACTGTAGCAGGTTTTCACATGCAAGGGCTTGCGGGTGTGAAGGAAAGTGGTTTAGGCACTTTGGACCGACTAATGATCGCAAGATACACAGCATCATATACACGCCGAGCTTCATGAAAGCATGTACTGCAACCCTCAAGCAATGGACAGCAGTAACACAGGGCGGAGATGGTCTGGTTGTGGCCTCGTATGCGCAACCAGCCGTGACCGCCACCGTATTCACCGAGCCGGATGTCGCACAGCCTCATCCGCGACCATTTGTTACTGCCCGTCGCCAACCGGACTACCCAAATTCAGCTCGTTACGAAGCTAGGCCACGGCTTGACTATTCTCATGATTCTCTTTATGATGGCACTGCCGCCACAGCTATGACCAAGCTCACAAACATGACTGGGTCTACAGACTCAGCTGAAGTCACTAGTTCAGCGCAGTTCACAGACTCAGCCGAGTTCACAACTCAATCCGGAACAAAACCCACTGTTGGTTTCACGACCAAGTGGGGATTTCCCTCAAGGCCCAATTTTGACAAGCCTCCCTCGTTCGATCCTCAATTTTTGGAGCAGGTGAAGAAGCAGATGCTCGAGAAATACCCTTGGATGGCGCATGATTCCAACGACAAGAGCACCTGGTCTTCAATAGCCGCGGCTCGTGTCTAATTCACTGGGCCTTAGACCCAAGGTTGAATGTTACCCTGTAAAAACATCTCTCCAGGCAGGTTAAACCTGGGTAGACAAAACCCACGCAAAGAATTTCAGCAACGGTAGTACTCCTCCCAGTCGTGGCAGCGACATGGTCGAGTCGAGTCAGGACCTCCGCTGTGAATTTTCTCCATGGTTGAATGTTCGTCCTAAAACACTCCTCAGTTTTGCAGGGACTGTGCAATCAAAACCCTAGCAATCCTTCATATCGAAGTCGGTCAAATGTCGACGTTGGCGTTGCTACTCGGTTCAGTAGCTTTGATGCAGCGAAGAATCGGTAGACGGGTTGATGCTAGCGGCCATCCTGGTGCAGCGAGATCCTCGTTTATTAGATAGACATTAGCGGTCAAGCGAACCACCGCAGCAGGCGACAGCGACGGTGACAGATGGCGGCTATGCAAGTCATCACCTCACGGTGGTAACGGACGGCGGCTTCGAATTGAGAGACGATAGCATGTTCTGATTTCTGCGTTGCTTTCTGCGTTGCTTTCTGCGTTGCTTTCTGCTTTGCTTTCTGCGTTGTGTTTGGACCTTTGTTGTTTCCGGAGACGATTTGTATATATCTCCTAAGCATTGTGACACTAACCCATGTAGCAGGTTTCGACTAATACACAGGCCCCCTCTCCCCCCTCTTATCAGAGTTTTGCTAACGTTTCTTAGGTCTGGACGCGGTCCAGTTATGATCTGGTCTCGCGTTCTACTCTCATTTCCCGCATTCTGCTCTCATTCCAAACTGGTAGGTTAGTGGTGAACGGCTTACTGACTTTGTCATGTCGGTATGTGACATGTGACGTCTGCGGGAGCTAGCATGAATTCGGTATAGCGGACGTTACGAACTCGACGTCAGTCGTCGCGTATTATGGCACTGCGTTCGTTCATGCACTGTAAACTTTATGGTTTCGAAAATGTTGAGTATCACAGGCCAAATTGTTAGAGTGGAAAGTGGCGCGTTG